TCCACAATCCTCATAACTGACTTCTAACCGAGATCCCCCCATTTCCTCCGGAATAATCAACCTCCCGCAAAACCGGGGGGGGGGGATTGTCTCTCAGCTTCTATCCCACCTCCCTCCCCCACCCCTCCTTTCTCATCACTCACAGACTCCTAACTCTCCATTTCTCCTGATAGCCCTCGGAAGCTTTCTGAAAGGAGCCTGATGCCTCCTCTTCCCTCGGCTCCCCCCAACTCAGCTCTCTGGCCCTGTGCCAGCTCACCCTGACCCCGAGTTCCTCTATCACCCTCCTCGGCCACTGGGACCCCCAACTCCATCGCAGTCCCCTCCCCAGCTAACCTCGACCCCCAGCTCCAGCCTCCAACTCCACCCCAAACCCCCAGCCCAGCACCCCCTTCAGGAACCCCGACCCCAGCCCCTAAGCCGGATCCCCGGCCCCTCCTCACAGACCCCGACCCCCGAGTCCGTCCGCAGCCGTTCCAGAACTCGCCACCCGCGGCCGCCCGGGCCTCCCATCCGCCCCGGCCGCGCCCTGCCCCCGGCACTCGAGGCGGTGGCGGCAGACCCTGGCCCAAATCGCGGCCGCACGCGCCCTTACCTGCGCTCGCGCCACCACGACCGCCTCAGCCCCTCACGCAGCGCAGCCGAACCCACCACGGGCCCGCGAGCGCTCGCTCCCCTCCGCGGGGGCGGGGGCGGCTCGCACGGGGCGGGCATTGGCGCCCAACGCGGCCAATCGCGGGCGCCGGCGGCGGGAGCCAGGGCTCGGGGCGGGGCGCAGGGCAGGCAGCGGGGTAGGCTGCGCCAGGGAGAGGGGGTGGGGCGTGGGGCGTGGGCGGGGCCGGGAGGCGGAGCGTTGAGTGGCACTGCTGCTGGCCACCCGCAAGGGGAAAACGCGCAAGGGGGAGGAGCTATGCTAATACGCAAATAGGTACAGTGTGGGGCACCCCGCAGCGGGGCGGCGAGCCGAGTTTCAGAGGTGACTTAGTGACGTCGAGGAGGCGCGAGGCGTTTCGAGAGTTCGAATCCCGGGTGGGGCCGCGGCTTCAAATCCGAATCCTACCTCACGTGCGGGGGGAGAATATCCCCTCCTAATAAGTCGCTTGACCTGCAAGACAATAATAATAACTGCTTCCTCTCGTTGAACACTCTGCATAAGGCTAGGAGGCGAGACGATATTACCCCCCGTTTCACAGGGGTGGAAACTGAGTCTCAGAGAGGTTAAACTCAAGGTCATTTGCCCAACCCTGTCCAGGGTTTCTTAATATCCTAACTCCTGGGCCTTGATTGTAAAATGCAGATTCCTGGGCCCCCACCCAAATCGAATGAACCAGAATCCTGAAAGGAACTGAACGCCTGGAATGTGCAGTTTTAACATGCTCCCTCGTTGATGTTGGGAAACATTTGGTATGTCTCCAAAAGTACCCAGCGGTCATGGAGGGAAGACTTTCTTATACAGGAGGATGGAGCCACTGTATTCTGGGACTTCCAGAACTTTGTGCAACACTGTTACTCTGTGATCTGAGCTGCTGGCCTCCCAGCTGGGCCCCCCCCCCACGGCTGCTGTCATCCCTGCAGGAACCTCCCTGCTCACCCCCTGCAGTGCACAGACAGAACCAGGTGCCTGGGGACAGCATCTCACTCCCCAGCTCCATCCCACAGGAGGAATTACTGTCTGCACAAGGGTTGCAAACTGGTGGCCCGCAAATGCTGTAAAATTCTGAATTCGTTGCCAACATTTAAAAATCAGGTTGTTTCACAAAGAGAAATCCAGATTTCCAGGCACTCTTGAAAAATCAGGTCTGGCGATTCTTGCAGCCCCAAAGATAGATTAGGGCAGGGCTGGGGTGAGGCAAGTGAGGCACTTTTCTCAAATCCTGAACCTAAAGGGGCACCCCAAAACACTCACCATCCAGATAAATACTATATAAATGCCATATTTTAAAATAAATGCAGAAATAATCCATGATGAACAAAATAACTAAAATTTTAAAGAAAGACAAGATTTGATTCTGCGCTGGTGCAAACCACCTCCTTTGCTACTCTCTAGCTCCAGCCCTGTCAGATCCTGTTTTTATTTCAAAAATAGTGATGTTCTGTTCATCATGGCTTCCTTTACATTAAGTATTGCAGTAAAATATGTATCTAGATGGCTGAGTTTTTTGTCACACGTGGTGAGTGCCTCGCTCTCTCACTCTAGTCCTGGCCGTGTTTATAAATTCATGAAATCTGCCCTGAGCCATTTAGTGGATGGGAAAACTGAGGCCCTGCAGGTTTGTTTGTTGTTGTTGTTCTTTTAATTAATTTTTATTGGAGTAGAGTTGCTTTACATCCTGCAGGTTGTTCTCCAGGTAATATGAGGATCATAGTGCCTGCCCGATCACCTCAATGGCTGCAGGAAGTACAGGGTCCAGCAGGGCTGGTGTGATCTCTTGTGGGGGTCACAGGGGTGAAGCACTGAAATGTTCCCATGATGCCCCAGAGTCCTCGTCACAAAAGTCTGAACTCTTCCCACAGACCCATCCCTCACCCTCATCTTTCTGGTCTCTTTCATCCTTTACAGGTGGCGAGCTGACCTCCCCAACCCAAAAAAGGCGCACTTTTGGGGAATGCGGAATCCACTTCTTTATTGCAGGAAGACTATTTGTAGAGCGAATGCTACACAGACCCCACAGCGGGGGGCGGGGGGCACCCACATGCGGGAGGCGAGGGGGCAGGGGCGGGGACAGCAAGCGTGGCCTGGCACGGTCCCCAGACCCAGCGGTGCCGAGGCAGGACGGGCCAGCAGCTGGGGCAGGCTCTGGGCCCCCTCCTGCTGGAGAACCCCAGGGTCGGGGCAGGGCCTGGGGCAGGAGAGGCCTGGAGGCAGACAGAGCCCCAGGGAGATTGTGCTATCAGGGTGTGTCCCTGAGAAAGGGCTGCAGACCCCTGCACAGCCCCACTTTCTCCGGCACCTTCAAGTGGGAGGGGTCAACACCAGCTGCTGGTGGGCCCTGGACCCGCCACAGGACAGGGGTGTTCCGCAGTGCTCAGACAGGATGCTACCTGTTCTTCCGTGGGCCTGTCCACACGCCGGGCGGTGACACACACGTGCACACACACACACTCCCTCCTTCTCACAGTGGGCCCAGTAAATATTTGCGGAGTGAACAGCCATACAGATGCAGAAGGAAAAAAACACACTGCTACCAAGATGGACACAAACAGTCCCTCTTACCCACGTACAGTCCATGTGGTCACATGACCTCTCTTTTGCGGGTGCACACGCGCACGTACACACACACGTGCCGCTTCCTTGCACCTAATGACACCAGCGCTGTGAGTGGCCCCAGGGAGAGGCCCAGGAGGCAGGGAGCTGAGGGCAGCTCCAGCCACGGCCAGCAGGCAGCTGAGGCCCTCAGTCCTGAGACCACAGGCAACTGAAGGCTGCCCAGGAGCACATGAGCTGGATGTGGATCTGCCCCGGTCATGCCTTTGGGTGAGACCGCAGCCCAGCTGGCCTCATGCTGAGACCGCAAGTGTGTGCTGTTGCAAGTTGCTGAGTTTGCGCTCCTCTGTTCCCCAGCAACAGCTGATGGATACAGACGTTGGGCTGAGAGCCCCCTTACGACAGAGTGCAGCAGGCGTGGTGCTCCTCAGACAGTCAGCACAAACAGGTCCACAGATGCTCTCTGCTAAATCCCGTAACCCACTCCCAAAAACGCAGCTGCACACAGTCACACTCTTGCAGGTGCCAAGGCTCACACATCACAGGTGTCTGGTCCTCCTGGCAACCACACAACCCACCCCTGCCTACACCCTACACTGGGATCACACGACAGACCATCACACACACAGGAGCCCCACACACACGCTTAGACACAAGCCATCCGCCCAGCGCACCAAGGGGCCCAATGCATCATCCCATGGGTGCCCCCCACCCCACCCCAGGCCTACAGGTCACCTTCATACTGTCCGACACGGCCTCACTGGGTCCCGTGAGTGTGGTGTCATCTAGACACTCACAGAAACAGAATCTCACAGTGGTGGCAGGGACCCACGCCTTCCTGGGTGCGCCCCCCCCCGGGGGGCCCCGTAGGTGGGAGGAATCGGGCTGGGCAGAGCTCTGCGTCCAGCCCCTCAGATCCTGCCGGTGCTGGGTCCAGATGCCTGCCTCTGGACAGGGCCCGGCAACCCCTCACCAGCACCCCGGGTCCCCTACCCTGGGCTCGGCGGCGACAAACTGTCTCGATCTCTGTCTGCGGGCTATGTCCGGGAAGTCCCTCCATATTCATTCCAGACAGTCCCCTGGAGTTGTGCTGTGGCCATCGGCCGGTCCCGGGCCTCCCCTGCCTGCACCCCAAGCCCAGGCGGGGCGAGGAGTGAGATTCTGGGCTGGCGGGGCACTGCTGTGAGCCCTGTGGTTATTGCCTGGCGGCCTGAGACCCAGCCCGCAAGGCCCCCCACCAACCCGTGGGGACGGGGGCAAGAGGGGTGGTCTGGGACCTGGGGAGGGGGGCACAGGCCAGAGGTCATGAGGGATGGAAGGGGGAGGGGAGTGTATGTCAAATACCAAGTTGGAGAAAAGAAAATCTGAGGTCCATGTGCATTTCAACTCCCTCCTCCCCGGCAAGGTCACAGTGATCTAATGTAGGGGCAGGGTGCAGGTCTGGCTGGGGGCACCCAGGGGGCAGAGTCAGAGGTGGGAGTCCTGGGAGACACAGAGATGGAGGAAAAACCGGCTTCCTGAGTCCCTGTGGGGACAGGCAGCTTCCCCCGTTTTCCCATGTGCAGATCAAGGGGGCCACCTCCAGCGCTTGGCTTTGGCGGGGCTACAGACAGGACGGGGGGCGGGGCAAAGAGGGAGGGGAAGGCAGAGTGGCGCGACAGAGCTGGGCTGGAGCCCCAGGTCTGCCACAGGCTCGGCAGGGCCTCATCGCTGGAGACATTGGAGGGAAAGAAGTGGAAGAGATGGTGGGGGGAGGGGAAAGAAGGAAGAGGAGAGGGAAGAGGGGGCGGAGGGGGGCAGCGGGGGCACAGGACGTGGGGAGAGGCCTGGGGCCAGGACAGCAGGGCGCCGGCGGCGGGCGCTCTGGGCTCACATGAGGACGCATTTGCCCTTGATGCGGTCTGTCCTCTTCTGTTTGCTGGAGCGCTTGCCGTCGATGTTCAGGCTCATGTTCCGGCGTGTCTCCAGTGTGAGCAGCTCCTGGAAGAGCTCCTTGACGTTGTAGTTCATCTTGGCCGATGTCTCCATGAAGGCGCACTTCCACTCCTGGGCCACGGCCTGGGCCTCGCGGGTGTCCACCTCCCGCTGGGTCTCGTCGCACTTGTTGCCCACCAGCATGACGGGGATGTCCTCCACGCTGCCCTTGATCTGCACGATGAGCTTGTAGATGGGGCCCAGCTCCTCCAGCGACTGCTTGCTGGTGACCGAGAAGACCAGGATGAAGGCGTGGCCCTTGGAGATGGACAGCCGCTGCATGGCCGGGAACTGGTGGCTGCCCGTGGTGTCGGTGATCTGCAGCGTGCACACGCTCTTGTCGCAGCTGATGACCTGCCGGTAGGTGTCCTCAATGGTGGGGATGTAGGTGTCCCGGAACGTGCCCTTGACGAAGCGCAGCACTAGGGAACTCTTGCCCACGCCGCCCGCCCCGAACACCACCACCCGGTAGTCATTGCTCTGTTCAGGCATCTTCCACGCGGCGGTGCGGGGTGGGGCCGGGAGGGCTCGCTTCGGCTGCTAGAACCCCAGACCGACCCTGCACAGAGAGGAGTGTCAGACAAGAGCGACCACCCACTAGGAGGGGGTGGGAAGGTCGGCCTCTCAGAGGAGCGGCATTTCTCCTGCATCCCGGTTGATTTGGTCGACTCTGCCATTCTGCCCTGCACACAGGCTCAGAGCCAGACCCTCTGCCTGTCTGCTTCCCCTCAACGAAATCTGGGGCCTAAACTCCTTCCCCGGGGGGGGGGAGTGGTCCCTGGGCTGGAAGAGGCATGGAGATGCCAGCGTGGGGTGCACACCAACTGCTTTCTCCACCTGCATGCTCCCCCAGCCCCCAGGTGGCACTGGCTTTTCCCTGGCTTTGTGACCTGGGCAAGCTGCTTTGCCACCCTGAGCCTCAGGTTTCTCCTCCGCAAAATAAGTAAAGGAGTGCCTCTCTCCGGCCATCACAGGCTCCCTGCTCTCACCCCAGCCCAGAGGCTCGTCAACCTCGTGGGAGCTGTGTGGTAGGGCATCTTTAAAATGCAGATTGCAGGGCCTCAGCCCTGGAAGTGGTGAATCCTTTGGTTCAGGGCCACAGCCCTGGGAACTTGCATTTTAAAGCTCTTCTCCTCCCCTCATCCCATAACTGTGATCCTGGTGCTGGAGGTCCAAGAATTTGCAAATCATGAAGCGGGTTTCCCACAGCAGCCCAGGCTGTAGATGAGAAAAGTAAAACTTAGCCTAAAGAGAGAAAGCCTCGCTCCCTGAACTCCAAACCCAGTCTATGGTCTGGCCTGCCCTGGCCTCCCGCTCAGGTCTGATGTGTCCGTAGGAACAGAACTCCCTGCGAGGGGGTCCTCTTCTCCCCTCTCCCCTACCCTGTGCTCAGAGAGGTCCAGTGACCTCGGGAGGTCACACAGCACAGCAATTCCTGAAATGATGGAGGTGGGAGAAGAACTGTGACCTGGGGGTGGGAAGGCAGGAAGCCTGTCTCCAAGCATCTGTGTCCTTACTTATAGAAACAGCAGAGACCCCTTCCCTGCCTCCTTCTCGGCCATCTCTGAGGGTCCCATAACACGGGGTGGGGTCTACAATGGGATAGAGAAGATATGGCAAGATTGCACCCAGGCCATGCTACTTCCCTCAGGTGTGTGTGTGGTGGGCGGGAGCAGGGTGGGGGTGGGGGGGGCGGGGAGCAAGACCCAATGGTGTGAAAGACCCTGGCGGTGAAAACCCGGGCAAGTAAATTGATGTTCCCGAGCCTCTATGTTCTCATCTGTGAAATGGGAGCAGTCTCAGTGCCCACTCCACAGAGCCGCTGGCACAAGCAGTGCCATAAGCTGGAAAAAGCCCTTGGCCAGGTGCCTGGCACACAGAGCCCTCAGTAAAGATGGACGGACATGGTTATCAATCACAAAGGCCCAAGGTGTAAAGCACTCGGCTGGTCGTGGGTTGGGAAGGCACATTCTCAGTGATCAAAAGTACCAGGTTTGTCAGAAAAAGACATACGGAGAAGGTAACAGCCGACACGTACCTCACAAATTACGTGCCAGGCAAACTTGTAGGAGCTTTAGCGGTTCTAACTCGTGGGGGACTGTTTTTAGGCATCTTGGTGACATGCATAGCACTTGGGGGTGGGGGGCTGGCAGGGCTGCCAGCCTGCTCTGCAGTCGCTACCCTTTCCTGGGTGGGCACCCCGAGAATTGAGCTCATCAGCATGCAGCCAGGGGTCACCACCACAACTGGCCGAGGGACTTGGGGTGGCTGGTGACCGTCCGTTCTTCCACCCCAGACCCAGCCCTTGCCTCGCTCTGGGGGCAGACCCCCTGGCAGTGCTCCAGGCCTGTCAGCAGGGGTGTCCTCCGGGAGGGGCCCACCGGGGCCTGGGATCCCTGACTCGGAGCCCCATTCAACAACCCGCAATCCCACGCCAGGAATCCACCTGGTGCCATTTGAAAGCCACCTGCACCTCCCATGGGCTGGGGTTGGGGGAAGGGGCCTGTGGGCACCAAGGCGCAAAAGGTGGTGGCATGGGCTCAAGGTCACAGCAGAGAGGTGGCAGAGCAGAGCAGGATTTGAACCCGGCCCCGGCTGGCTACACAGCCTGGGGTCCTTCCCCTGTGCAAGGCAGCCCACCCTGAGGCTCCCGGGCCAGGGGAAGCTGCCAGGTCCTGGGTCCCCGGAGCCCACTGCTACTGGGAGGTTGGAGCGACCTCAGGTGCAGAAAGCAGGCCCCAACCCAGGCGAGGGCCTGGGGGCTCGGGCTGCCTGCCCCAAGGGGGTCTGACATAGGGACTACGTGACCAGTGAGGGGTTTGAGGAGAGGGGGCTCCCCTGGGCCCGAGGAGGATCTAAGTGGTGGGGGAGGGCCGTCCACCAGAGGAGGGGCTCCTGGATGAGGGCCTCGGCTGGGAGAGGGAGCAGGAGAGCTGAACGGGGCGGCGATGCGGGGAGGCGGGCTCGGGGCCCACTCGATTCCTCCTGGAGGCGCCCTGACAGCGGGACCCAGGGGGGCTCCTGTGGGCCGGAGGAGGGGCTGGCTCGGCCGAAAGGCTGCCCGTCAGTACCGCGGGGGAGGGGTGATGCCGGGAAGGAGCTGTCCAAGGTGGGCACGAGGAGGGCGGCCCGGCCGGGGCCCAGCCGGACCGGGGAAGGGGGTCCGGTGGAGGGCCCGGCCCCGCGGCCGGGGAGGGTGGGGCTCGGACAAAGGAGGGCGCGCGAGGAGAGGACCTGCGGGCCTCGCGGGGGGACGCAGCGGGCCCCGGCGCCCCGGTCCCCCGCCCCGGCCTCCTACCTGGGCGCTCGTCCCTGCGGCGCCGCCGCGGCTGCTGCTGGCCGTCTCCGTGTCCGCTCGGGCGCCACCGCCCCCCGCACGCCGGAGCTGCTGCCGCCGCCGCGCCCGCGCCCGTCCCCGCCCGTCCCCGCCCGCCGCCGGGCGCCGCGCTCCGCCCCTCCCCCCGGCCCCGCGCCCCCGGGCAAGGTCACCGCCGCCCCATCTGGACCCCCGCCCGGTGAACACCGGCTCCTGCCAGGGACGCCATAGGGGTGGGGTCTTCTTCCCCAGGAGGAAGCTGGCGCACCCCAGGGCCACCCAGCAGCCGACCGCTGGGCAAGATGGGGGCAGAGCCGAGGTCACCCAGGAGCAAAGAGAAGGGGCCAGTTGGCAGAACTGCAGACAAGGGGCCTGGGGGAACAGAACGGGACACCCTTGGGCTGGTGGGGGTGAGGGTCCAGGGCAGGGCCCCCCAGCGGAGAGGTCATTGATGGAATGAATAATCGATCAATCAATCAATAGGTGTATGAGAAGGTAGAGGTGGCCCAAGAGGGCTCGGGGCAGTGGGGACGTACCTGGAGACTAGTCTCCATCCCGGGGGGGGGGGGGGGGGGGGTGGCGTTTGGGGGGGGGGGGGGGGGGGGGGGGGGGGGTGGGAGGGCAGTTGCTTTTGAAGCTGGGGGTGAACAAAGGGAGACAAGGGAAATGGATTTGCAGTTTTCTGGTAGGAAAATGTTATCTTCATCAAATAGGAGTTGTCTCTGAGAATAAACGTTTGCCTTTGGGAAGCGTCTGTGCGGTTGACTTCTGTGTGTCCACGTTTAAGCCAACAGGGTACCATCACCCCTCCCTCCTGAAGACTGGGAGGGTGGAGACTCATCTCAGAGAAGACTAGGCTTTGGGAAACAGCAACTGAACCAGGCAGGGGTGGGTGTGAGAACAGGGCCCAAGCCTGTTAGAAGCAGGCACCCCTCGATGGATAGGCTGACGCTAAGGGTCCCACAAGGAGGGAGCTTCTGAGGTCAGAGCAGTCGGAGGGTGAAAGAGGCTCTTTGTAGGGTGATGAGCTCCCCATCATGAGGTGTGTGAGCAGATGGTCGGCTGGAGCCCAAGGGCTCCTCTGGCTCTTGGCTCCTTGATTTTTGCTGACCCAACATGTCTGTGGCTCTGGCTGAGCCAGACCCTTCCTGCTCCCTTGGAGAGGTGGGCACTGCCCCCAAGACCATCTGGCTCCCCCAGAGGCCGGGCCTCTGAGGTTCGTCCTGCTTTGGGGGCTTGAAGGGCCCCATTTCTCCCTGATTCAGCCCCTCCACTGCACCTCCCGGCCTCTAGCACCTGGACCATCCCACCCGCCTCCTTCCTGGCCTCCCAGGACAGCCCACTCCAGCCCTCCTTCTACCTTGGCCTTCACCGCACAGACTCCTCTGCTCTCATGCCACCCCTGGCTTCCTTCACTTCCGGGTCAAGGTCCAGCTTCTCAGCCTGGCGTTCAAGCTGCTCCCGACCTGACCCAAGCTCCCCTCCGGTTCCCCATCCAACCCCGGCTGCCTGGAGCTGTCCCCCGGACACACCCCACTCCTGCCCTGTCCTAGGCCATGTGGGGCACCACAGAGGGTGGCCTGGCCCCAGCCCCACATCTCCAAGTGCTCTCAGCCAGCGATGGAGACAGCCCTGTGGATCTCCACGTCCCGGCCAAGCGCTCCTCTGAGCCTCAGTCTCCCCATCTGTGAATGAGGATCACCATGGTCTTGCCTCCCAGCGTTGCTGGGAGTGATCTATCGGGCACGACGTCCACCCTCCTGGGGTTGCTGAGCACACAGGAGCTCAGAGATGACAGCCCTGCTCCCTCCCGCTCCGACTGCCTGCCTGCTTCCGTCTCTGAGTGACCAGGGGCCCTCTGCTCCTCCAGGCACCAGCCCAGGCCGGGGCAGGCTGACTCACGCCTAGGAGTGTGGGCACGCTGCACTCTGCAGCTGCTATTTATGGCTCCCAGGCCAGGCTCCGGGCCGGATGAGCCAGGAGAGGACAGGCCCCAGAGTCTCCCCCTCGCTCTCCCAGGCACGGGGCTCAACGCCCACCCGAGCACCCCAAACTAGGACGGCAGTGCCCCCTTTCCCGCGGCCGGCCGGGAGAGCCCTGGCCTTCGTGCACCAGGGCAAGAGAGGGTTGGGTTTTATCAGCTCAGAGAACAGGATCGGCTCCCCTGGGGTGGCCCAGCTGGAAAGAGACCGGGCTGGGGCTGGAGCTCGGGTCCATCAGGTTCTGAAGCCGCAGCCAGCCTTTCTGCTGTCCCAGGCTGTCTGGGGGCCTGGCCCAGGGACGCACACCTGGCCTTTGGCTGTCCTTGATCTGCAGAAGTCCTCTCAAATGTAAAGGGACAGCCACTCACCTGAGAGGTCCCTGCTCCTCGCCTGGCCTTGCAGCCTATGGGCCTCCTGCCAGCTGCTCCGGGTGGGGGCCGCTCTCCAGACCCACTGTTCAGGGAGGAAGGTGGCTGGGTCTCATGCTCTGTTCTTTCTGTGCTCCAGGGATTAATGCAATTATGTGGGCGAAGCTGAGGCTGGGTGCCACGGCCTCTCACCGATGCTGTTTGGCCCACAGAGGTTTTTATTTGTTTTTAACTTTGGTGTCAACATTTAAAAATAAGAAGGTCATTTGTCAAAACACAGTTTGCCTTAAAAAATGAATGGGCTGGTGTCTCGAGCCCAAATTCTGCCCACCAGCTCCTGTGGGAGCTGGACCCCAGCCCCTGGTGGAAGATGCTGGTCCTTCACTGAAGCCACCTGCCTAGGCCCTGGGAGTGGCCTGAGGGGCTCTTGCACATACGGGGCTGTGTTGTCATCAACACCTCCAAGGAGCGGGGTCACTGGAGCCTAAGCCATCAGCAGGATGAACCCCTGCCACACTTGCATCCTTTAACAGAGAGCCGGACAGCTTTGATCAGTCAGAGAAAAGGACCATGACATGCAGGGAGACCTCAGGGCCTTTACACAGGCCACTTCCTCCGCCAGAAAAGCTCTTCACCCATCTTCTGACTCCAGTGAGGCCCTCAGAGACTCCCCGCTGACCACACTGCTAAATTAGTCTTTGTCTCCCTTCGTGGCTCTCCCTCCACCTTGCTTATCTTCAGGGCACTTATCACATTTTGTGTCCATCTATCATCTGTCTCCCTTGCTAGAATGTGAGCTGCCTTAGGTTCTAGGACAGTGGGTCTCCCCTGGGGGTGATTCTGCCCCCAGGGGACCCTGGGCGATGTCTGGGGACATTTGTGGTTGCCGTGACCAGGCTGGGCTCTTGGCATTGAGTGGGTGGGGCCAGGGAGGCTGCTCCACACCCCAGGGCATCCAGGACGGCCCCCCAGAGGATGACCCAGCCCCACGTCAGCAGTGCTGGGGGGACCCTGGGGTAGGGCAATGGACCTCAAACGTGTCCCCAGACCAGCATCCCCTGGGAGCTTGGTAGAAATGCAAAATCTGGGAATTCCCTGGCGGTCCAGTGGTTAGGACGCCGGCTTTCACTGCTATGGACCCAGGTTCGATCCCTGGTGGAGGAACTAAGATCCCACAAGCCGTGCGGCGCAGCCAAAAGAAAAAGAAAAGAGAAAGAAATGAAAAATCTCTGGCCCTGCCCCAGCCAAGACTAGCTCAGCAGGAGGCCCAGCCGGTCCCTCAAAGGAGAGGGCATGTGAACCGTGGCAGCCTTTTCCTTTGCTTTAAACGCAGCACCTCAGCTGTGCCTCCCAGGCACTGAGACGGGGGGCTCTAAACGGCCCACCTGCCCATCCCGGCTCTCTCCCGCCAGGCTGGGCACACAGCAATCACTTGGGCCCTTGGCGAGAACACTGCGGTCTGCCAGGTCAGCTTTTCTTGCCCCAGGAGCTGCAGAGGCCTGGAGGGTGTCAGGGTCGGGGAGGGACGGGGTCTCCCTTCTGCAGCCCAATCTGGCCTCGGCCAACTGACAGCCAGGAGAAGAATTCTAGGGTCTTCCCAGAACCACCCCAAGCCCTGCAGCAGCCCCCTTCTGCCCTCAGGAGTCCCAGCCCAGTCCCAGCCTCTAGGAGGCTCTCAAAAGGTCAGGTGGGTCGGTCACTGGCTCTGTACCAAAGCTGACAGACAGCTCAGGGTGGACACGGGCTGGGACATGTGGGCTGCATGACCCTCTCTTCCTGGCAAGGCTGAGGGTCCAGAGCTGGTGGTCAGGGCAGGCCTGGAGGCGCCGTGTGCAGGGACACAGCATCCCGTCCGATGCCTGTGTTTCGGGGCCTGGAAGATGTAGGCTGGCTGGGAACCGGCGACCCCCTCCCCGGCTCCACACTAATAACTTCTCCACCAGAAACGCAAACAGCAGACAACAGAAGCCGCGACACTGTTATTACGCTTGATTCAATCCGCAAGTCCTGGGTGCCACCTCCTAACTTTCTACTCCTTTGTCTCCAGATCAAGGAGGGGGACCCGGCTGACTGCATCCAGCTGTGGCTGGCACTGGAAGCCCCGACTCCACTCGGCTTGGGGGTGGCAGGGCCGGTGAGGGTGACGCTGTACCAAGGACCAGAGCTGAGTCCTGGCTCAACCCTCCTGCTTGCTGAGCCCCCGTATTGGGCGCCCATAATCGTGCTGCCAGGAGCCTGCCTGGTCGCAGCCAAGCGGCTAGGGGTGGCCTTGACCCAGCCAGGCACATCCGGATAAAGGTGGTGTTTTGTGCTGGGAGTTTTGTTTCTTTAAACAGAAAGGCGTTTGTGCTACTTGGGAACGCTCGTGTCCAAGTGAAGGTGGCTGTGCCTGGTTGACACCAAGCAATACACACGTCATTAGCAGGCGTGTGCCCCCTCTCCTCCGTGAGACACGCACACAGATCTCAAAGCGACACGTCCTAGATGGCGCAAAGTTGCACAGAGATGAAGGCTTTCGTGGCCAACGTCCAGTTCCATGTCAGGGCTGGTCCAGGGCCCCAGGCGGTGGGTGACGAACCCGCAGGCTTCTTCAGCCAGAGCTGTCACCACACGGCACCTGTCGTGTCAGAGCGGGTGTGGGGGAGATGGAGCCACTGAGCTGGCCTAGACGAGAAGACCCTGGTCTAGGCTGGACACGGCCACCATGAGCCGGGGGACCTCAGGAGTGAG